GATTTTCTTATGCAGAGGACGGAGCCGAACCTGGCCAAGCGAGCTGATGGAGTCTCATGCAAATCGACAAGATGGACAACATATGGGTGTACGGCAAATTCAACGCTTCCGAAGTTCCATGGTGGAACGTCCTTACACGAATAATGATTGTGCCTTCTCAGCTCCTCAAGTCCATCTTCCTAAACTTTGTTTCCTGCTAGGAGATACCTGGTAGTTGACGCACCCTGCGGCTTCGAGAACTTTATGGCTGCGTTGCTGGGGGACTGTCTAGCGTTGTGGGTGCAGAACATGAGACAATTTCCATGGCGAGTCGCTGACGTGCCCTTTTGGTCCGATCCTTGCTGTGCACTTACACTGGTCTTGATGACATCCGACACCGGAGATGCGAACCAATGCGCAGCGCTTTTCTTCTTTTACATGCTGTACAGACGATAAAAATGTTCCCCGAATTTGGCAGCCTTGCCGGCATGCTAAGTTTTCTGGGCTTTCACCACAGGACTTATGTGCAGGAAACTACCTAGCTACTGGAACAACCAGACAAAACAGAACAGGTGGCGTTCTGGTACGGCCTACTTTTAGCTGAGCAACCGAAAATACGGCATAAATAAAGCATAATTCGTTGTGGCATAAATCGCTATTGCTATTGAGAAAGATTGTCCTGAAAGGCAAAATCTTTCCTACGAAAGATATGCCGTACGATAATCCCAAAAATATGGTAACAGTCGATACGTTCTTACTAATAAGGTGCAAGCTTATTGACAGCGCTAAGCTATGATTCCACGCATAATCCCGTTGCACTTGCTAGCCGTGTAGACCGTTTATACTTAAAACTGATTGAATAAATTCGCAGATTTTTGTAGAGCATTAATCATGATATTCAAGTTTAACAAAGACTTGCGAATCAAAAAGTTGTGAATGATTAGACAGTGATCACAATTTTGGGGCATCTTCAAACGGTGCATAAGCGCAGCTTAAGACCAATTTTCATATCAAATTCTTTAATCACTGAAAATCATAAGCAAACCTCTTAGACGATATCCAGCGATTGATGGAAGCTCTCTTTCTAATGTTCTAAGAAAGGTTAGCAAACGGTACTTTTATCCGTTTCATTTTATTGCCAGAAGTTCTTCCTCTCAACCGAAGTCCATACTTTCCTTGCCAGAAGAACTAAGTTGCTGGTACGCACTAGAGTTTGGCATCAGTGAGCTTCTGGCTTCGACCACAGGTGTTTCCTGCAAGCAGATAATTTCTTGAAGAAAAATACATCTCAAAGCTGGATTTTGAGTAGTTTCTGCCAAAGTAGCAAGGAAGCATAAGCGCTGTATTCATCTTTGAAATGAGATCGCTAGTATTACTAAGTGAATTATCCTTTGCTAGTAAATTTGAAAAGCTACGAGTAGAAGTAGAATAATGAATTTTATTTCTATACTTCTTAACTACCGAATGTTCTCTCAAAAAGCGCTTCAACCGTAGTACCAGTGCTCTGTAATGTTTAGCTTGAACCACCCTAAGATAGGCGAAACGGAGACAGAGATAGTATTGAAAATTCTTCATACTTTTTGGAAATCTAATTCAATTCGTTAAAGCTCTTGGTTTTCAATAGACTTCAAACAAGAGCCTAGTAGAATTATTAGGGAAATATTAAAACCTCTTGGAGTCTAATAACTATAAACAAGGACAAATTAAAAACTGGATACGGCACAGTTTTTTGCGAGGACTATTAAATAAAGCAAACTGATTTGTCAAC